TCACCCACAAGATACACGGCCATTTTAACATGTTTTTTTTTAAAGACTTTTCAGCAGACCAAAACATAAGCTATGCTTAAAACTTTGGAGTCTACATTTTCATTCCTTCCACGAACCACCAAATCGTACGCACAGGATTCTCGGATATATTATACAGCAAATGATACTGTTGCAGCTTGAAGGCATGTTATACAAGAACACTGGATACGGACATGTCTTGATGTCTTCCTACCTCCGTATGCTGCATTTTTCAGCTCTCGGAGAGCCAAAGTTGAACGTACCCACTTGAACCTTCACAAATTATTCCTTAGGGTGCACATTCCTCTGCTGAGTCTCAATGAGGGGCGTCCTGAGTAAAAACAAAGACAGAAAGGTGAGAAAAACTGACATTACAGGGCCACAATTTGCAGTAAATCATTGCCTAAATTCCAACAGATATTGGTGTAACATAACACCGCCTTCATTTTCAGTACGACTCTTTGTCGGAATTGAGACTCCAGTAACGAACAGTGCCAGTGGACTCCAGACGGGCACTCTCTCCGCCCTCGTGTTTGCAATAGTAAAGGAGTGTTATTAATTAAGGATACGAAGCAGATTTTGACAAGGGTTCCCAAGTGGCAAGCGGTGTGGATTCTTGGCGTTGACTTGGCCCAGCGGGGGTAGCAAGCGCCTGTTTGAGGAAGGGGGTGGAGGAGGGTTGGGTTGGCTCCATGCTGGCAGCCAGGCCTTCCACGTCTGCGTTGGTGCTTTGAAGTGTCACCTTGAGAGAAGAGCCAGTGGCCGGGTAGTGGAGGGAGCAGGAGCAATGAAAGGAGTGGCACCGCTTGCGTTGCCAGACACAGCGCTTTTAATATTACATGGGCTCCCTTCCATCTCTCTACACATGCAGGATATTGCTTCTGCTTGATTTATTCAGAAAGTGGATCTTTCTCTGCTCCTTTTCCTGCTGTGGTTCAACACCTGTGCAGGTTTTAGCCGGGCTTCTGCACTCAAGCGTGGTGTGTCAGGTTCTCTGTAACTTTCGATGAAAAGACATTAGGTGTCTTTTCAGAGTAGTTAGTCAAAGTGAGAGCGATGTTTCGATCACAGCAGGTGTTTGAACAACGATGCTTTAATGGCGAACTGAAAGGTTCAATTAAGATGGGTGGGCAGTCACAAGTCACATCAAGCCATCATCCCATGTGTGTATTGCGATAATGCTCATTACACAGCTTCTCATAAAAAAAAATGTTGTTTTTAAATGAGGACATTAAATGATTGTTTAAGTTGAAATTATTTTATATTCTTATCTGGATATTACCTTAAAGCTTCCGCTAAGCAATGAAGTCCTACAAAATAGTCCTACAAAAGGAATAGTCTGAGAAAAACATTTGTCCTTGCAAAAAACGAACACTGCTACAATATTAATACTAGTTACCAGAGATTATCCACTACATTAGGTCATTGTATTTGTATAAAACAAGCAAGAGCAAGAGTGACACGAGGGAGGTGGAAGTAGCGCCAATTTTAGTTACCTGGAGGAGCTTGCGCTGTGCCGCCTAGCTATTGGAAAATTACCGCTGAATGCCGCGATTGGCCAATCAGAATCGAGTATTCCAGAAAGCCGCGGAAATGTCTGTCGAGATGTGTGAACCTGAACCGTCACTTTAAAACCAAGCAGATTTCTATTGGTCAATGAGGCGAATACACGTGACCAATTTGAACTACAAAATCAGGGGAAATCTTTCGCCCCAAACAAAGAGTATAGAAGACCAATGGCTGAATTGAAATTATTTTCGCCGTGAAAATTCGACAAACAACAGGCCTAAACAAAATCACATATTGCACAATGTAGGCTAATTAAAATATAACAGGTAGGCAAGCTAAGCTAGAATTCTGTCCATAATTACATATATCTGCAAAAAGAGTCTGGTGATTTGCGGGTGTTTGAAACAGGAGAAAGGCATTTTGAAAAGACTTTTCACAGCAGTCCCAGATCATAAATAGCAGCTTTAACACTCCTGATTAGTTCTGACATCCGCAGACTTTCATCTCTCCCTCCATCTTGCTTTTTTAAATCAGATTAACCCAAATGGGCATCCTTTAATGGCCCCTTTTTTAGAAAAGCCGAAAAAGGATGATAATTAAAATAATTAAACCTCTGGGATTGGCGCGCGCATCCCTTGTTCTCTCTCTCCCTTTCCCCTTTTGCTCCCTTTTCCTTCTCTCCTTTTTAAGTTTTGAGTCTACTTGGCTAACAGATTCAGAAGTGAGGAAAACACAAACCACCCTAGGTTAATTGAATTTACGCTCATCTCAAAGGTCCAACTACACATAGTACGCAAGCTTTTCCCCCCTCCTGTGAAACCGGATGTAGAAGTGTGTGTGTGTGCGTTTCAGCTGTCTAAATGTGATTGCGCTCAGGGATAAACGCTCATATTCATTCCATTTCTGTGCACTTTGCGTTTAGCTAAACATAAAGCAAAAAGTATCCTTTTTAACGATTATTTATGAATGGACTTTTACGCTATTAATGAGGACAAATTAAGTCGTTTTTAGGAGTGTCAGTATGAAATATGCTTAACAAAATGATCTTGTTTAGCATTTCTGCTTCAGCATGGGTCCATGTGGAATAAACACAAACATTTAAATATAACCGGGATTTTTGGATGCTGGAAAATGAGCATGCACAGCATTAAAATAATATATTAAGATTTTTAAATCACACTGAGACACTTTAGTTCCTGGAAAGATAAGGGGGAAACACGTTGCCATGCTGCAAAAATAATAACTAATCGTGTTAATTATAATTAGTTTTGCCTTAACTGGGCTTCTAAATTACACCCAAGACCTAGATACTACAATACTGAAAGTAGGCTATTTCACACATTTTCACAGTTGGATGCAGTTATCCTCTAATTATAATTTTCAAATGCATGAAAAAAAATAAAGACGAGCCCTTGATACCAGGAATCTACAGCACTTTCAAGAGAAAACGGAGAAATAATTAAATAAAAATAAGACTCTTTATAGCCCAATCATGACTGCATGGCACTGCTTTAACTCCACTGCTTGCCTCCTCCTGTGTCCTGACAATTTCACTGGGTTGCATTTCAAGTTGGCAAAGAGAGAAGAGAAACCCCTTTGCTGTGAATACTTAAGATTTATACTTAATTTCATACAATCTTTGAAAACATTGAGGAGCAATTTCATATTTGCACTGACATCTAATTTCTCAAGTAGATTCTGAAATCACAAATTGGTATGGATTCCCTCTGCGTCCAATTATTCTGCATCAGTCTCCCTGACCCCTCAGAGTACTGCTAAATTAAACATAAGTTTTTTTTTGACTCAGTCATAAAATAGTCCTACATATGCACACGTTTGATAAACTAATCTTACTTTCTCAGTTGTAGCAGCTCTCGTCGTGTTTCGCTCTGCCACTGAATTTCAACAAGACGCGCAGAGAGGGAATAATTGCACCACATGTGCCATATGTTTATGTCACTCACTATCTAGCCTACATAAAATATAAGCTGCTTGAACTCCATTAGGTTCATAGACTTCACTGATATATAATATTTTGACATCGAGCTTAGGTGTATGAAAATGACTTTTTGTAGATAATTAAAATAAAAAAGCTGGTGAGGTATAAAAAAAAAAAAATCAACCCTATTTGCTGGTCTAAAATGGCAAAGATAGATTAGTAGCGTCATCAGCTAGTTTTCCCAGGCTGACCTGTTGTAATGTACTCAGAGCACTTTATAAATCGCAACCAACTCACCAGACCAGCTAAAACCAGTAAGCTGCTGTACACTGTTTTCCCCCCTCAATTATCTCAAGAATCTTACAGAACTGTACGTTTTTTCACAGGGAAGAGCAGAAACTTGAATCCAATGTATCGTTTGACCTCAAATGAACGCCCATGCTAATCTGTATTGATATGCTTTGAGCCATAACGTTCAGGAGAGTCAATAGCGATTCGACAGCACCTGTTGATTGATGATTGATAATCAAGAGCAACAGTGCCCTCTAGTGGTTGATCATGCGATTTTTTTAAAACAATAAATATTGGTCATTTTGCCTTTTTTGGAAATAATAATAATAATAATTCAAATGTCTTCAGGTGGGAGAGAGAATGTTAAAATGATGATTCTAAACGTATTTGGAACTTGAAGAGACAATTCATCCAAAAATTAACAATTCACTCGCCTTCATGTCATTTACAACCTGTTTTTCATCTGTGGAACACAAAAGGATAATTTTTTTAGGGGGGGGGGGGGGGGGGG